TGAGCTGGGGACGGTCAGTCCAGACAGGACAGCGGGGTGAGCTGGGGATGGTCAGTCCAAACAGGACAGCGGGGTGAGCTGGGGATGGTCAGTCCAGACAGGACAGCGGGGTGAGCTGGGATGGTCAGTCCAGACAGGACAGCGGGGTGAGCTGGAGGACAGTCAGTCCAGACAGGACAGCAGGGTGAGCTGGGGATGGTCAGTCCAGACAGGACAGCGGGGTGAGCTGGGGATGGTCAGTCCAGACAGGACAGCGGGGTGAGCTGGGGACGGTCAGTCCAGACAGGACAGCGGGGTGAGCTGGGGATGGTCAGTCCAGACAGGATAGCGGGGTGAGCTGGGGATGGTCAGTGGTCAGTCCAGACAGGACAGCGGGATGAGCTGGGGACGGTCAGTCCAGACAGGACAGCAGGATGAGCTGGAGGACGGTCAGTCCAGACAGGACAGCGGGGTGAGCTGGGGATGGTCAGTCCAGACAGGACAGCGGGGTGAGCTGGGGATGGTCAGTCCAGACAGGACAGCGGGGTGAGCTGGAGGACGGTCAGTCCAGACAGGACAGCGGGGTGAGCTGGAGGACGGTCAGTCCAGACAGGACAGCGGGGTGAGCTGGGACGGTCAGTCCAGACAGGACAGCGGGGTGAGCTGGAGGACGGTCAGTCCAGACAGGACAGCGGGGTGAGTGGGGCGTGTGAACTCGGGTGCAGGCTGAGCAAGGCTGTAGGTCCCCTAGACTAGCGCTCCTGCCTTGTTTTCAGCCCCTCTGGGTCCTGGTCAGGCGGGTCAGGTCACACCGCTGGTGGGCAGGGTGGGAGAGTCTGCTAGACACAGCCACGTGCTCGGTCTGGCTCTGAAGTGGACGCACGGGAGGGCGGGATGGCCGGGGGCGCCCAGCCTCAGTGTCTGTCTGGCTGGTGGAAATGGCACAAGATCTAGAATTCTAGGGACGGGAAGAGCGTCTGGGCTTTGAGCTTTGTCCTCAGCCGCTGTTCCTTAAATTTCTCCGGCCTGTAACACCACACAGGCCTGGCTTCTACTTGAGACTTTTTCCTCTACGGTGCTGCAATGCACACGGCTGCCACTAGGGGGCAGGTGTCTCCGCTCCCCTGGGGTCCCGCTCCCCTGGGGTCCCGCTCTCCTGGGGTCCCGCTCTCCTGGGGTCCCCGCTCTCCTGGGGTCCCGCTCTCCTGGGGTCCCGCTCTCCTGGGGTCCCATTCTCCTGGGGTCCCGCTCCCCTGGGGTCCCGCTCTCCTGGGGTCCCGCTCTCCTGGGGTCCCGCTCTCCTGGGGTCCCCGCTCTCCTGGGGTCCCCGCTCTCCTGGGGTCCCGCTCTCCTGGGGTCCCCGCTCCCCTGGGGTCCCGCTCTCCTGGGGTCCCCGCTCTCCTGGGGTCCCATTCCCCTGGGGTCCCGCTCTCCTGGGGTCCCCGCTCTCCTGGGGTCCCGCTCTCCTGGGGTCCCCGCTCCCCTGGGGTCCCGCTCCCCTGGGGTCCCGCTCTCCTGGGGTCCCCGCTCTCCTGGGGTCCCATTCCCCTGGGGTCCCATTCCCCTGGGGTCCCGCTCTCCTGGGGTCCCATTCCCCTGGGGTCCCATTCCCCTGGGGTCCCCGCTCTCCTGGGGTCCCCGCTCTCCTGGGGTCCCGCTCTCCTGGGGTCCCGCTCTCCTGGGGTCCCGCTCTCCTGGGGTCCCGCTCTCCTGGGGTCCCCGCTCTCCTGGGGTCCCATTCTCCTGGGGTCCCCGCTCTCCTGGGGTCCCGCTCTCCTGGGGTCCCGCTCCCCTGGGGTCCCCGCTCTCCTGGGGTCCCGCTCTCCTGGGGTCCCCGCTCTCCTGGGGTCCCGCTCTCCTGGGGTCCCCGCTCTCCTGGGGTCCCGCTCTCCTGGGGTCCTCCCCCCAGGACTGGGTGGCCGGCCCAGCTCTGCCCTGGGCTCTGCTCCACACTGTGGGCCTGACTGGCTGGGCCAGGAGGGGAGGAGGGTCCGGCTTAGGAGGCCGGAGCCCAAGCCTCCACAGGCAGTCACCAGTGCACATTTCAAGTAGCAACACAGCGGTTGTTGCTCTGTGCACAGAGCCCCCCACACAAGCGACTGTGCTCTTGCAGGTGAAACGTTGTATTTTAAGTCATTTCTCCCAGGAGCAGGCTTGGAGGGCAGCGCTCCACGCTCACTGCGTGCTGCCAGGGGGCTCCTCTGCGGAGGTGGTCCAGGCAGCTCCCGGGCCGCGGGGGAGGTGCTGTGTCTGAGTCTGCGCCTCCTCTGCTTTGTACCCGTCTACCTCCAAGAGCCATACGTTTCCCAGCTTCCCTTCTGAGAGAAGCTCATTGCTAAGATTCAGGACCATACTCACCTGAGGAAAGGCCCGGGGCCTTCCGTGCCAGCTCTCGGTGCTCGGGCTGTACTGGGAGCTTGGGGGTTGTGTCTGCTTTTGGCATCAGCGTGACGTGGCCGTGCATCCAGGACAGGTGGCCTGTCATTATTCTGGATGTTTCTGCACATGGCTAACATAAGCTGGTGGACTGTCCTCCCAATGTGGGTGGGCTCCTTCCCTGAATAGAGACAGTCCACCTTCCTGAGGGCCAGCGGCAGCCTTTACATTTGGCCTGCAGCCAGCGTCCTCTCAGTCTGTGTGATCGTGGGCGGGCTCCCCACGCTGCTCTTTCTCTGGAGGACTCTGTTACAGAGGTGAGATGAAGCACCCGTTTCCTCCTGTTGGTTGGGTTGGGAGCCTGTTGAGGCTGAGTGTTGGTGGAGTCTGCTGTGTCACGCCCATTGCCACACTCCTGTGGGTTCAGGAACAAATGTCCTCCACTGCCCTCACCAAGACCATAGTCCAGTGGGGAGCATGGAGGGAGAGGGAGGGGAGGGAGCAGAGAACACGGAGGGAGAGGGAGGGGAGGGAGGGGAAGGGGAGGGAGTGGAGAGCACTTTGGGAGAGGGAGGGGAGGGAGAGGGAGGGGAGAACATGAGGGAGAGGGAGGGGGA